CTTCAGGCACTCATTTAACCTCTTTCCTACAGTCCCATATCTATAAAATGAGAACATATTTATAAAATGCCTTTCCAATGTGAATCTAGGAAGTGATGTAGGTGGAAGTGTGGAGTACAATAAGCATCTCATAAATAGTCAACATTGTTATTATCAAACACTATAATTTTAAGTAAAATTCTTAAAGTCGCTATGGACCAACTCTGCCGAATGCACCACTTGTGATGTGTTTTCTCTGGGGCTGCACCCCCCTTTCCCCGGCGGGGAGGGGGGGGGGACGGGGGGGCGGGAGCGGGAAGAGAGGGGAGGATGGAAGAGTTCTGCTAAATTTTAAGATACTGTTTTAAAGCCAGGCGGACAGGAAAAATTCCAAGCTCCTCAGTGTGACATCCTCGGCACAAGCATGATGCTCCAGGCGCTAAAAGCTTCCACTCTGAAGCAAGGACCCCAAACCCATCCATTGAACTGTTCTAGTCTTACCTATGCTTGTCCTTCTGCCCAAGACCCCCTGTGCCCCTTCTCAGGCCCACGTCCGCCTGCACTGGTCCCGTGCTCGCCTGTGCATTTTAACAGCCCAGGTCACTCTAGCGACCCTGAGTGGTATAAGTCCCCCCCCCACCCCACCACCACCACACTGTGGTGTCCATAGGGCAGAGCCTGTGTTTTAGTCTTTGCTTATTCTCTAGCACTGGGCACATGACAAGAGCCTTTCCCGTGGTTGTGAGCACAAATGTCCATGACAGGGAAAGATGAGGTCGGAGCTCTGGGCTGGTGGTCTGGGGTGAGCCTCTGCCTGGGCCAGAGAGGACTGGCATTCTCTGTGGGCTGGGACCCGGCCTCCTCCACCTGTCACCACCAGCCCTCCAGCTCTCTGTAACCACAACTACAGCAGGCCCCAAATCCCTTCTTTTTTTCTTTTCTTTTTTTTAAAGAACACATTTCTTATTTAAAAGATTTTTTTTTAATTGCTTTTAGAGGAAGGGAGAGGGAGAGAGAGATAGAAACATCAATGAGGAGAGAGAATCATTGATTGGCTGCCTCCTGCACACCCCCTACTGGGAATTGAGCCTGCAATCCAGGCATGTGCCCTTGACCAGAATCGAATCTGGGACCCTTCAGTCCACAGGCTGACACTCTATCCACTGAGCCAAACCGGCTAGGGCCCCAAATCCCTTCTTCATGGAGAAGCTGCCGAAGTTTGAGAGGAGAAATTTGCCAAAGGAACTAAGATAAGTAATGCAAAATAAAAACACACATAGAGGTCCGAGAAACAGACTTACTGAATCTAAAGAAAAGATGATTACCTTTGACCTTAAAGGCTGACCCACAATTTTCTCACTGGCCTTCCACCTGCTGAGCCCAGCTGGCACCCTCATCACCCAGGGGCCTTATCCCTTGGTTCAGTGGTTCTAAGCCCTTTTGTGGGGCTGCAGACCCTGAGAAGCCTCAAATGCCATCCTGGTTGGTTTCTTTCTAATCCATGTGGTTAGAATAGAATAGAAATCTATATAAGTCAGGAGCCCATCCAGACTGGCCTTAGCTCAGCACCACTGTCCTGGGTTGACTGACCTCCCTTTCTGCCCCCAGTTAATACTGAGACCCTATCTCCCAAATGTACCCTGGAAAGCGTCTTTCTAGAACCATGAAGATCTGCAACCATTATGAAAAGGAATGTGGACCCTGTTGCCTCCCAGAGAAGGAAGGTGTTGCAAAAGTGAGGGCACTGCAGGCAGAGGGGACAGCCAGCGTAAAGGGGTGGAGCTGAGAGTGTGGGACCCTGTTTGAGAAGATGCGTCAGGCACGTAAGAGACTCGCACAGCAAGGGGATGGAAGGAAGGAAGGCTGGCAAGAGACATTTGGATCAGGCGTCAAAGGGCCTAGAGTGTCCCTAACTGAGTCCCTAAATGTCTCCTTGGGGAGTCAGCAGAAAATCTTGGAAGTTCCTAAGCAAGTGATGGCATGCTTTTTTAAAAATTGTGGCAGGAGGATGGAGGGTGGTTGTGGGATAGACGGCTGGGGTCAGGCAGAGAGCTAATGAGGTTGTCATCAGACTGGGGTAAATCTCTCTTCCAAGTCAGGGTGCAGAGCAGGGGAGGACAAATAAGTTTAATTGTTAAAGATATGCACTGTGGGCCCTCGGGTAGGGAGAAGGACCTGGAGGGAGAATCTTTAAGATCTGACAGAGATGTCTGGGGGCAGGGTGAGGAAAATACCGGAAATGACTGCCTGGCCCCAATGCTGGGCATTGGGAGGGGGTGCCATGGGCAATGTGGCCTGGGCCTGTGGAGATGAAGCAGGCCCGGCCCAGGGGCAGAGCTATCATGACAGGGACCCTCAGGGGAGGCAGTGGCTCCCCTCCTCCCCAGCCCTGTCCTCACCAGAGGATGTCCAGGGCTGACAGAAGCAAGATGGAGGCCCACACTAGAGCTTTTCCCCACAGATGGCCTCTGAGACTGTGGAAGAGCGAACGCTCTCTGAGAAAGAGAGAAGGGAGCAAGGTGCAGAGGGGCTGAGGCACTCAGAGGGGTAAGAGGAGAGACAGAGTGCTCAGGTCACCAGGTGTGTGTGTGGGGGGGGGGGGGGGGTCAGAGGCCTGAGGCCAGAGAAGAGCGAACAGCAGCAGTGCAGGCCAGACTGGCAAGGAAGGCGTCGTTCTGGGGAGTGAATCTGTGGACTTTCTCAGAAACAGGAGGGGCACAAGTTGGAGGAAGAGGCGGGACAAGGGGAAGATTCTCTTAAGAGCGGGGAGTTCTGCGCAGAGGAAAGAAGGAGGATCAAAACCCAAGCAGATCATATGGGGCAGCATCAGGAGATGCAAAAGGTGAGACTGAGCAAAGAGGTCCCTGGTGCCTGCTTCTCCAAGGTACAAGGGAGGAGAGAATGGATGAAAACACTGAGAAAGGTTGAAAAGGATGCACAGCTGAGAGACAGCAGGATCCTGTCAAGATTCCTACCTCCTCTCCGTTAAGTACGAAGTAGGGTGTCTGCTAGAGATGTAAAAGCCAGAGGCAGGTTTGAAGGTGGAGCACGTATGCAACAGCTTTGGGTGGTTTCTCGAGAGCAAGGCTGCTCAAATGTAACGTGTCTACAAATCTCCCGGGATCTTGTTAAAAGGCAGTTCTGATTCAGCAGGGCCTGGGCAGGGACAAGATTCTACATTTCTAACTAGCTCCCCTGTGATGCCAATGCTGCTGGTCCAGGGACCACACTGGGAGGAGCGAGGACTTAGAGAGCCGGGTAAGGAGGGGGAGAGATTGGCATAAGAATTCACCTTAAGGAGAGACCTTCCTTTGATAATCTCACCTGTGGTAAAAGCTGAGGCCTTGATTAGTCTGGGAGGGAGCGACAGGTCCTGCAGGTGATGGAGAGGGGGACGGGGAAAGGGAAGGATGGTAAAAAGGACAGAGGTCGACAGGAGGTGGGGGAACCTCTGGGGTGGTAGGAGGCCCAGCAGCGTCCCTGGGGTCCTTCATCTGGGTCCATGTGGGACGGACCACTAACTACACACTTGGAGGCCCCTCAAAAAGAGGTGGGAGTCAGTTGGGGCAGGAAAGTGATATTCTGGGGGTGTCTGAGAGTGACACAGCGGGCAGGACAGGCCACCCCCATGCTGTTCTGCAGGAAAGTGCTGGGCTCATTCTGGGCTTGTGCAAAGCCTGGCAAGACACACCAGGACAGAACTGGAGAGAGGGGCAGGAATGGCTCTACCCCGGGGTCAAGGGTAAGATGATGTCTGTGCCAGGAACTCATAAAAGAGAATGAAATCTGAGAGGGAAGATTCTCTGGCTGAAGAGAAAGACTCTGAGTCCTAACTCCAAGCCCTAAGTCTCCAACTTGCAATAAAAAAGCAAGAGGTTTTGGTGAGGCACAAGTTGGAAGGAAAATGCTTTAAGTTTGGGCAACAAGGACTAGGGATGTCAGGGATTGGGGGTGGGGGTGCAGGGACTCCGCTGGGCGCCCCTGGGTCCAGTTAAGAGACAGAGGTTTGAGTCCTGGGCTGAGGTTAAGCCGGGGTCAGGTTCATCAGAGAAATGCCCGGAGCACCGCCGGGAGCAAAGACCATCAAGAGTAGAAGCTTGGAGGCGTCAACATGAGCAGCAAGTACAGGACCAGGGCGACGGCGTGAAGAGCGACGGGTACTTGGGGAGGCAGATGAGGCTGCGGAGCCGGAGGACCGTCCTGGGGCGAGCCGGAGGTGGCGGCGGTTTCTGAGCGCAGCGTGGCAGGCTCCCCCGCCGCACAGCCCCGTCTGCTCACGGCCGGGGCCTCCCTGGCCCCGCAGGTCCCTCCGGTCCTTCCCGCTGCCTCGGCCAGGCCGCAGCCCCCAGCCCGGGAGACTGACTCGCCAGGGTCCGCCCCGCCGCGGCGGCCCGGGCCCGGCCGCTCCTCCCCCGATGATGTCACGTCCCCGGCCGCCCCTCGGCCAGCCGCGCCGCCCCGCCCCCGCCTCCCCCGGCCCCTAGTCCCCTGGGCCCGCCTGCTCCCGCCATCCCTCCTCCCGCGCGCGC